ATTATATTCACACCCAATCAGCATCCCATAGAGAGCGATGCGAGTTGTCGACAGTGAATATAGAGCAGAGATATAGAACTAGATGATCTTCCTTTTGCCCTCATATCATTTAATTCGAAATTGACCGCTTTCCCAGTAATGTCCCTTAAAGCCGAATCATACATGACCGCAGGCAATATACCAAAGTAGCTGAACATCAACTCCTTATCTTATGACATAATCAAATGTCACAAAAGGCACAAAGCGGGTTATCCAAATATGTTTTGAATTCAAATTCAAATTTCCATGGATAAGTTCAAAAGGGTCATGGGCCATGCCACATGGGCGCCCAATTTCTAACAGTTATGGTATGAATTGAGATATTTTCACAACCTAAAAATCGAACTTTTGCGATGGTCTCAAACGTCGCAAAAGGTCCATATATCATCGCAAAAAGTCTTTTGCGACGGAGCAATGACAGGAAATGGGGGGTGGCGGAAGGGGGCGTGACAAAAAGTATTTGCGACGGTTACAAACCGTCGCGTTCTTGTAGCGACGGCTAATCAATGGTTTTTGCGACGGTTTAACCTGGCACAAAAAAAGGGAAAAAAAACTTCATTATTAGTGATGATGTTGGTTGCCGTCGCCAAAACTTTTTTAGCGACGGCATTTGATGTCGCAAAAACTATTATTAGTAACAATCTAAAACGTCGCAAAAAAGTAAAATTAAATTAATACCATAGTTGTGACAGTTTAAACCGTTACTAAAGATTTGAACTAATATTTATATGCTGCAGGTTAACCCGTTGCTAATAAAATGTAAGGAAATGATGATTACATTAGCAATGGTTATTATTGTCGCAATAAAATTATTTTTATAAAATCAATATGTATTTTATTAATTCATTCCCTGTATAAATTATTAATATTTTTAAAAATAAAATACATCCACATCCACATTCACTTTCACAAAATCATACGTATATATGTACCCTATAACAATTATCAACCAATATTCTTTACTAAAATATATAAAACATTCTCCAACAATACTAATAATTTTTTATATTCAAGAACTAAAATTTTTGTATATAAAGCAAAACAAAAGTAGTGACAATGCAAATACAAAAACATATATATTATAGTTTGTTTTAATATCAACAGTAAGCTCTAATATCAATATGCGAAGATATCATCATGTACTCAAAAGGGATTGAATCTGCAAAAAGAAACACAAAAAAAAAAAACCATTTACAGTATAATTAATTTCAAGCTTACAGAAAATGTAAAACATTTAATATTTATTTCAAAAAATAAATAAATACAAAAAGCATTGTAAGCTGCAATATCGGCATGCGAAGATATCATCACGTATTCAAAGGGTTGCATCTGCAAAAGAAACCAACAAAACAAAAAAATCAGTTGCAATATAATTAATTTCAAGCTTACAGAAAATATAAAACATTGGACATTTATTTCAATAAATAAATAAATACATAAATAAGATTGTATGCTCCAATATCTTCTCCTATAAGTCACTTGTGTCTAGTATGTTGTATGTGTCAAGTTTCGTTGACATCTAAGCTTGTTTGAGCATTTTAGTGTGTCAACCGGTTCGAAAAAAAGCTTGTAAGGAATAAGTTTTCATAAACAGAAATTAGGCTCTAGATTCAAAACCGGAAATGGGTTTCGAGTCTTATCTTCTCCTACAAGTCACGTGTGCCTAGTATGTTGTGTGTGACAAATTTCGTTGACATCTGAGCCCGTTTGAGCATTTTAGTGTGTCAACCAGTTTGAAAAAGAGTCTGTAAGGAATAAGTTTTCATAAACGGAAATTAGGCTCTAGATTCAAAACCGGGAATTAGTTTCAAGTCTTGCCTTCTCCTACAAGTCACTTGTGCCTAGTTAGTCATGTGTCAAGTTTCATTGACATCCGATACCGTCTGAGCATTTTAGTGTGTCAACCGGATTGAAAAAGAGTTTGTAAAGAACAAGTTTTCATAAATGGAAATTAGGCTCTAGATTCAAAACCGAAAATCGGTTTCGAGTCCCGTTTTCTCCTACAAGTCACATGTGCCTTGCAAGCAAGTTACACTAAATATTCTACCACAAATTTCCAAAATATACATATATATATATATATAATTATAAGAAGCCCTAAAAAACTGACACTAAACCGGACCTTAATGAGGATTTCAAACACTTGGTATGAGTGGGTAAGTTGCACAGATATTGGGACAAGCCTCATTACCTAGGCTCAAGTAAGCACTTTCACAACAATCCCGTGAACATATTCATCTTACTAGTGGTTTAGAAGGCATACATAATAAATAATAAAAATACATGCAATTACCAACCTTTCAGAGGCATAGGAAGTGGCAAAGTAGCTCCTTGGCAAAGACTGTTCGCCCACTGCAACAACCACAAAAGAGAAAAAAACCAGAGTCCATAAAAAGGGGGAAAAGAAACGTTGAGTTAAATGTTGTTTGATCTATATAGAAGAATCCTTCAGTTATCAGCAATCCCAGGTTTGAAAGAGGAGAGCCACCTCGTGAATAATATGTCAGGGTTTATGTTTTCAGTAGCACCTTAGATGATACATCTTAAGCACATAATGCACTACTTTTTCATTCTTCCTTCTATTATAATCAGATGATAGAATTGAACTCACATCATCTTCTTTATTGAGTCCACCACTTAGAATCTAGCTACCATGAGAATTGAATTGCATAGCTATATAGTTCACTTTTCAGTCCAATCCAATTTTTAGGCTGTTCACCAAATCTTTCCTTGGAATTGAGGGAACTATCAAGTAGATCCAATCAAGTATAATAAATATACACTACAAGAAAAATATGATTCAATGGCATTTTCCAGCAAAAAGTGAAACAAAAGTAATTTACTAGCATGTTTTAAAACATGCCACTCAACCATTATATATTTTTCAGTAATATTTGGGATCTTGAATTTGTGGAGGGATTTGTAAAAAAGAGAAGAATTAGAAACTCTGTTCCCTTTCTTTTTCTTCTCTCTCTGTAAACCTCTACAAATCCAAAATATAAACAAAGCCTTAATGGAATTTTGGCAAGTGGGTTTGTAGGCTTTTTTGTCTATTTTAGCCACAAAAAACAAAATAGGCTATTTTAGCCATAACAAACAAAACATCACATCCAACCCATAATCATTACATTCTTCTCTCGGATCTTGAATTTGTGGAGGGATTTGTAAAAAAGAGAAGAATTAGAAACTCTGTTCCCTTTCTTTTTCTTCTCTCTCTGTAAACCTCTACAAATCCAAAATATAAACAAAGCCTTAATGGAATTTCACTTAAGATGTCACAAGGAAAAAATTGTTTCTCTTTTGGGAGAAATTATTTTTTTCTAAATCTGCTTCCCTCCCATTGAAACCCTCATTTTCATCCTCCCCATCTCTCCTTTCTCAATCTCATTCTCATCACACAAGATTAGAATTTTATTGTGAACTGAGTTGGCTGTCATAAAAGTATATGCTTCATGTTCATTTACTATATATTTAATCAAAAAGTTATGATTTGCTTAAATAACATTGCTCTGTTGGTTGTCAGCATGTATACTGCACACTTTGACATAGAATGTGACAGCACAGAATACCTCAAGTGGCCTATTTTTTCCATTAATGCAAGGACCGTGTTATGATGTTCTAAGCAGAGATGATTCACATCTCAGAGTTAGGTGGGCTGATGAGCACATTCAACTAAACATGTGGATGATAGCCCTCACAACCCAAGCACAATGATGCTATTTTCAGGGATGCAATCTTCGTGAGATAATAACCTGTCATGTGAGCCTCCCACTATCGAGTGCATGCGAACGCAATCAACAAAATTTACAATAAAACATTATGTGACTTCTAAGTGCCTCATTCATAATGATTCTGACAATACATTATTTTTGTTGCACTTTTTAATGATTTTTTATGTGCATGTAATATAATTGAAACAATATAAAATATCAGCTACAACATTATCTAGAAACCTTTAAAACTATTATGGATTTGGGTAGAGATTATTAAAAAATAAAAAATAAAATAAAATTTAATTTTTTTTTTAAAAAAACTAATATTTCATTCACCTTTCCTTCACCTTTTCTTTTCCTTTCCAAATTCCTAAACAAATCCATGATTCAAACATAAATATAATTGAAACAATATAAAATATCAGCTACAACATTATCTAGAAACCTTTAAAACTATTATGGATTTGGGTAGAGATTATTAAAAAATAAAAAATAAAATAAAATAAAATTTTTTTTTTAAAAAAACTAATATTTCATTCACCTTTCCTTCACATTTTCTTTTCCTTTCCAAATTCCTAAACAAATCCATGATTCAAACATAAAAGAAATTGATGTGGTTCAGACTTGTTTCAAAGAGCACAAGCAATTTATCTAGAAAAGCACATAGAGCTTTGATTACAAGCTACTCCAAACAATGCTTAGCAGAAAATATGTAATTTGAAAATTATATATATAACTGCACTTTTGTTTTGAGTAGTTGACAAGCACATTTAATATTCCATTCACACACAAGAAGCTAAAGCAAATATTTAGGTTGAGTTTGGATCTTGGATGGGGAAAAGTAAATGAAGTAAAAGCTATAAAAAAAAATTGCTGCTTTTCCCTTACTTTTACTTTTCCCTCCACAAGTCTAACATCCAAACACAACATTAGTTAATTGCAGGTTTCAGTCATTTAGAGACAGCGAGAGATAGCCCACAGGGACGTGTTAATCACAACGGATACAGATCCTCTCCATTACACCATCCAATGGTTGTGAAACTACCACCTCAATGGGTGTAATGACTTCTTTTTGAAAAAAATTTGAAATAATGATAAGTTCGTGTGACAAATTTAAAGCCATTAGATATGTCATGGAGAGGATCTGGATCCAATCACAATTGCCATATTGCCTTACTATAAGAGAGAAAATATTACAACATTCTAAATATACCAAAGATATAATCACCGTGATGAGATTGTTAAACATAGCATAAAAATGCATTAAAAATCTTATTCATTGACCAAACTAAACAAGCCTTAATTACTTACTTGGGGTCACCTACATTAATCTGTTTTCTCTAGTTTGCTTTATCCAAAACTATTTCCTTGATTGAAATTATAAAACAAGCTCCTCTATAACAATTGCCCATTTATTTGACATTAGAATATTGAAATTAAATCATTAGAGGTACATATCAAAGGGAAAATCAAGATTAGAATTGTAGAGAGATTTTAAAAAAATGAGAGATTGATGATTATCTCCTCTATAACAACTGCCCCATTCATTTGACCCTCTTTTGCCTACAAAGTAACAAATCACAAGAAACAACCATATCCCCAAGAAGAAGAAAATGGTAGAGAAAATATAAAGAGAATATAAAAGTGAGAGTGATTGATGGTTACCTTCTCCATAAGAATTTCTCCATTTATTTGATCCTCTTTTGTCTACAAAGTAACAATCACAGGTAATAACCATATCCCTAACAAGAAGAAAATATAAGAGAGTTATAAAAATATATGAGAAAAGAAGTCGTCATTATTTACACAATGGTATGGATAATAGAAAATAGCTTCTTTATATATCACCAAAAATAAAGTGGTACAAGTAAAATCATAAATTAATATGTTGTCATCATAAAAAATAAAAAATAATCAATTTGTAGACATCCAACAAACACTAAAAGACAATCATCAATGGGATACCACCTAGCCTATTAAGTTAATGACTAAAGGCAGGTTCCTCATTCCCCCAAAAGAAAGCAAGATAACATAACATTCCATTCAAACAATCAATTTTGATCTTACAATCAACTCAATTCATTTGTATAAACAACTATCAAAGAGAAGAAATAATGCACTGCACCAAAAATCTTTGTAAATAAATTGAAATTCAATTTGATTTTTTAAATGAAAGAAATTCCTAAGCAAGGTCACATGATGCAAAAAGAAGACACATATGCAAGGTGACCAACTCTAATCGTTATCTGGCCTTTTCTGGTTTAGGAAAAACAAGGATCTAAAAATGCATAAGTGAAATATGCTATAGAATCTGATGCACAGAAGGCATTGAAACTATGACTATTAGGAATGGCAACGGGGCGGGGCGGGCCGGGGACCACACTCCCCGTCCCTGATCCCCGAAAGCGATAAATTCCCTATCCCCGTCTCCCCCCCCGATCCCCGGCGGGGAGCCTATAGCCTCCCCCGTCCCCACCCCCGATCGGGGATCGGCTTTCCCTGACCCCGAAATATCCCCAACCCTTTTTTTTATTATTTTGTTTAACACAACACAAGAATTAATCTGTTCTTATCATCATCATCAACAACAACAACAAAAAAATAATCTGTTCTCATCACCAACATCAACAATCATCATGAACAACAATTATCAACTTTGAAAAAAAAAAAAAAAAATCTGAAATTGAAGAAATCTAAGTAAAAAAATTTGGAATCAACAAAGCAGCGATCAACAACACAGCGATCTAAGTAAAAATCTATTCTCATCGTCACGTATGCCGCCTCCGACGCCACCTGCTTCCCTCTGTACACAATCAGAGACTGCGAGACTGCACCGGAGACTGCGACACAGTCCCTTCGTTACCACTGCTGCTCGATCTACTGAAAGAGAGAGGGAAGAGGGAAACCGAGAGAGAAGATGGAGAGAGAGAGAGAGAGAGAGAGAGAAGATGGAGGTGAAACTCTAAGGTCTTACCAGCAGCGGCGGTGGGGAAGGAGGATTTGTGAGGTACGAGCGGCGGTGAGGGAGGGTCGGGAGTGAGGGACGATCGGTGGTGACGGAGGATCGGCGCCGCCGCCGTTGTTGTGTAAAAGAGAGAGAGAGAGAGAGAGAGAGAGAGAGAGAGCAGAGACAGCTCTGTCTATGTTGTGTTTGTGTTGAGTGTGTGTGTGTTCAAACTAAACCCTAAACACACACACATACACATATGTTATATATAAGGAGGGGTAAAAGAGTAATTTCATGTCGGGGGGCAACGGGGCCGAGGGTTGGGCCGGGTCCGGGGTTGAAACATGTATCCTCGTCCTCGGCCCGAATATCATCGGGGATTTAATTTTTAATACCATTCCCGGCCCGTCCGGGGTGTTTTTCGGGGAATAATCGCTCAATTCGGGGTCAGGGGATCGGGTCCCCGTCGGGCCAGGTTCCGATTGCCATCTCTAATGACTATGGTGGATGGCAGGGATTCCCCAACTAGAGGACACATGGCAAGCAGATGTTTGAAGCCCCCCTGATGGCATGGGTTAAAATGGTGTTACTCTTGTCCATCAAAAGTGCAAAAAGCAACTAAGATATCAAAGACGCAACTATTAATGACCGCCAATGGCCAAGAATGATGGGTAAGAGAAACCAAACCAAACCAAGCCTTACGTTCCATCGGGTAAGAGAAAGCACAAACAAAAAAAGAAAAGAAAGAGAGAGAGAGAGACCATTACCCAATGTCGGACAAAGCACAAATTATTGATTTCAAATTTATATACAAAACACAATCTAAGAATGCAATGTCTTAACTACTGAGTTACCCTCATCAACAAAGTCAAGACCATGCTCGACTATGGTGTCCACTTCTCTCACTAGCAAGTCATCCGATTGAGCTCTGTCCACCACTAAATCCATCTCATGGCACCTTTCCTTGTAAATCACCTACAAAGGAACAAAAAACTCGATGATTCGCATATATAGTGTCATATATTTATAACTTTAATTTACCTCGCCACGTCCTTAACCACCAAGCTCCTTTTCTCGCTTCTCCCTCTCAGTAATTTCTTTCTCACCGCATGAGGACAAGCAGGGAGCAACAATGGGGACCGATTCACAAGGCCCTCCAACAGAGATTCTCTTCTCTCATAGTAGAAAAGCTGTGAACAACTACAGAGATAAAATTCTAATCCAATTGTTTGGTTGAATTTTTGTTTTCTGTTTTCAATTTTTGAAAATCATGGAAAACTTGTTTAGCGCACTGTTTCCAAAAAATGTTTTTTAGAAAATTTTCAGAAAAACCTTTTTTAGGAAATACTAAAAAATTCTCAAATTGGACAAAGTAACAAGTACCTGGAATAGCAAGCTTTCAAATCTAGGAATGTTAGTGTCCAATGGCAATTTCATTGTCCCCAAAAGACACTCCATCCTCATATTCCTGGGTACCATTTCCTAAAGTTGCCTTTAAGGCAGCTGTCAGATTCCAGTGGCCGGAAAATTCATGTAGCCCAGAGAAGCGACTGATGTACTTGGTCTTGAATACAAGTAAGCAAGGAACAACCCAAGATGGGCTCAATTGAAATTGGAAATATTTAGTACATTTGGGCTGGAGGACTTGCCTAACACTAGCATAAGATGCCATGTCTTCTCCTTAGAATCTGAAGGACTCTAGTTTTTTATATAACTTAAATCCATATAATAAAACCAGAGTCCATAAAAATACATTCAATTAAGTATTGAAATAGATAATTCTCATCTCTCAGTATTTAAAATTTAAGCCATAAATATGCAAATATTAAGTTTTGTATAGATTTAAAACTAGGGTTCCAATCCCCCTCTCTCTCAATCTCCAATCTCTGCACCACTTTCTAGGGTTCCAATGAAGAGGATTTGATTCCAATGAAGGCAAAAGAAGAGAAAAAGAGGAGAGAACAGCAGAGGAGAGATACCTGGATGTCGGACCGAGAACCGGTGAGAAGTCGCTGCCGCTGCTACAGACAGACTGTGAGGGTAACGCGAGAGCGAGAGCGAGAGTGAGAGAGAGAGATTGTGAGGGTCTGCGCGAGCGAGTGTGAGACGAAAGAAAATGAGAGGAGATGAGGGTATCTGACGCTGGTGCTGTTGGGGTTCCGAGATGGAAAGAGACGACTAGGAGAAGGCAGACAGTTTCTTTTCCTTTTTTTTTGATCTGAGAAGAGGATATTGAAAGGGTATATGGAAGACAGAGCAAAGATGAAGGGCGAGGGAAGCAAAAAGAATTTTTTTTGTGACGGAGGAATAAATAGCGTTGCAAAAAATATAAACAATTCCAAGGTGACAAATCGTCGTGTAAAATACTCTTTTTGCCACGGTCTTGGATTTGTCATCGCAAAAAAAATTATTTGACGACGACATCATTTACTGTCGCAAAAACTTATTTTTTGCGACGATTTTCAAACCGTCGCAAAAAGTTCCGTGTCCAGTACTCCCTTTTCTAGTACTGTATATTAAGTAATAGTCTATATTGAAAACATCGATGGTGTGTAAATAGAATTATTTGTAATTTACCATTCAAATTTTTTTTGTTAGTACTGGGAAAAAATGTGTTAAATTTTGGTTGCCTCAGTTAAACCCTCTTGTTGGTAGTGAGGGTTCGTTTGGGACGTGGGTTGACTTTTTAGATTTTTGGCTATTTTAGCCTGAGGCAAAAAACTCTCATTTGAGATAGGCTTTTTGGCTTTTTTTGACTTTTGTGAGAGAAAAAATGAAATGATTATAGTTTAGATGTGATGTTTTGTTATTAAAATAGCCAAAAAAGCCTGGCATACCAAACGAATGATAAATTGTTTATGAAAAATTCTCTCATACTTCGTTGGATTGAGAGGTTCGGAGAGAGAAAATAAAAAATTGAGAGGTTCAGTGAGGTAAGAAAAAAAAAATAAAGATCAATTATTTGAATGATTATCATTTTCAACTCAAATTCAAATATTTCATTAAATTTAAATTTGATAAAAATTTAACAAAAATGATATTTCAATAGTTTCACTAAATTGGTATCAAATGAAGGGAGTATTATTTGTTTTTTTATTAAATCAATGAAGTGTTTAATCTTTTATCAAATATTGAAGGTGGTTAGTGGACAACTAGCCAAACAATGGAATGGATGACCAATTGGAAAAAATTTGAAGAAAATTTATACTAAGTTAGACGATCGTTCGGACATCCTCTTGGTCGTCCATCCCGATCGACCAATCGTTTGATGAAAATTAAAAATTTAGCGTTAGAACGCTTGATATCAAATAAAATTTTTAACCAAAATTTTTACTCCAATTTGATTAAAAAAAAATCGTTAAAGATATTCTAATAAAATAAATAATGATAATTTTTTTTTAAAAAAATGAGGAAAAAGTCAAATCACATAAATTTAAATATTCTTTCTCACAAAAAATAATAAATTTTGGTAAAAAATTAAAATTAATAATGTAATCATAATCCAAATCAAACCAATAAAATCAAACCTCAAGTCCTATTAAATAGAATCGACTGCATGAACTTTTTTGCACCAAATAAGATTCATTTCATAAGAATTCGAACGATTGTTTTACCTATTGACTGTCGGGTTTGAAATTGGTGGGGTTATTAATCCATCAAAAAACAAAAACAAAAACAAAAAAAAAAAAAAAAACAAAAAAAAAAAGAAAAGAAAAGGAAAACTGAAAAATCACAATTATTTATTTCCTCTCTAATCATTTCATCTATTTTCTCATCTCTCAACGCAAAACAATCACTTTTCGCAGAATTTCCTTCTCTCTATCTCTCTCACCATTTTTGGCTTCCATTTGCAGCTATAAGCATTTGATCTCATTCTACTATATGAGTTCGTTCTAGTAATTGGCTGCACTCAGAGGTACGTATTTATGTGTAGATATATATGGCAAGAAAAATGTTTGGGGGCCCTAATTGCATGAACTTTTTTGCACCAAATAAGATTCATTTCATAAGAATTCGAACGATTGTTTTACCTATTGACTGTCGGGTTTGAAATCGGTGGGGTTATTAATCCATCAAAAAACAAAAACAAAAGCAAAACAAAAAAAAAAACAAAAAAAAAGAAAAGAAAAAGAAAACTGAAAAATCACAATTATTTATTTCCTCTCTAATCATTTCATCTATTTTCTCATCTCTCAACGCAAAACAATCACTTTTCGCAGAATTTCCTTCTCTCTATCTCTCTCACCATTTTTGGCTTCCATTTGCAACTATAAGCATTTGATCTCATTCTACTATATGAGTTCGTTCCAGTAATTGGCTGCACTCAGAGGTACGTATTTATGTGTAGATATATATGGTAAGCCTTCTTTCTGCAATTATTTATTCATCAATATGCAAGCCACACTGTCATGATCCTAGCCCACCCCTAGAGGTTTAGACCGTGACTGGCCAATAATTCCAGATTACTTCCGGCCTCATAGACAAATCTGATATATAATAATAATAAAGGGGCACTGCGAAAACAATATTAAAATATAAATATGTTTATCGTGCGGTGCATACATAAAAATCATACAAATTTAAAATCCCAACTCCTTCATAAATGTAATTACAAAAGTATATCATAACATCTTGACACTTATACAGATTGTCCATCTATTCATGTTCCAAAACAAAAGAACTAAGCAAAGAAGCAAAATAAACAAAACAAGTTCCATGATTCACAAGGTTGACACATTTGGCTCCGCATGAGACCAAGTTCGCCCCATCACAGAGGCACTCCAAAACGGTTGACAAAAGGATGGACTCCCAAGGTTGCCTTATATTTGACGCTCTAATTGCTCACCTACATATATATAGGGAAAGGGGGTGAGCTAAAGCCCAGTGAGTAATACTAGCATAAAGAGGTTAAATGAATGATATCTAACATTGTACAAAATCATATCACATGAGTTCAAATCATATCATAAACGATTACTTGTCACATCAATGTTCATAAATCACGTCCATATGTGGTACATCCATTAGTGCATGATGGGACCATTTAGGTCGAAACATGGGGACCCCTTGGGTCTATATCATAGATCTCTGTAACGATGGGCACAGTATTGTTACTCCTGGGCGAGGGCCATTTAGCATAGGCCACGGTATTGTTACCCTCGGGCTACACTAAGGATGTCACAATTACATTTTGAACGAGACAATCATTCATTGTAACAAAAATAATGAACTTGCAATAAACCCAAACACTTTAATAACATATATTTACAAAAGTACCACTCACAGTGGATTGGTACTAACGATAGACCTCGGTTGACCACCTACACAAAGCATATAGCACAAATACACATTGAACACACATTCGAAACAAGTAACGTGTCTTAATTCATTTCCTTTACATGTGTTTTTAGCTTATTCCTTGATTATGGATGTTCAAATAAGGCTTAAGAATGCCAAAATGGTCATGAGGATGCAAATATGAACTTCGAAGAGTTTGTCAAAAATTGTTGAAAATAGGGCCTTCGCTTGAGTGCACACTAGGTCGCTCGAGCGGTGTAGCCTGACTGCAAAAGTACTGGATGCTCAAATTTTATGCTCGATGGTTGCTCAAGCCAAGCGTTGAACAAAAGTGAGTTCGCTCGAGTGCACACTTGGTTGTTCGAGCCAACTACCAAAGTCTGCAAAAATATTGGATGCCTTCAAATTTCGCTCGAGCCATGGTTCCTTCACTCAAGCGATATGTGCGAATTCTAGGTTTTCCAGATTTGTGTTTGAAGTTCAAATTCAATCCTTTCAAGTGCAAAACTTGTATGGTTGGTCCCAAAAGCTTAGAAACTCATTACAAAACATGAATTGATGAAAATCATGGAACCATGATCTCAAATATTCTCTTAATTCTTCAAAACAAAACTCAAAATATCATGCTCTTGACATGCATGTAACAAAATCAACTCTTGTCTTTTTAAATCATGTATAAATGAAATGTTGAGTGCAAAAACATGAAGAATTCTAAGAAACAACTTGACTAAGACTCATACATGTGTGAATTTGACAAAATCGTGTTCAAAAGATGAAGAATTATGCATGCATGTACACAATTCACTTAAATTCTCTTGACCCTTGTTGATTCATGCTCATATCTTTCATTTACATGCAAATGGTCCAACACATTGATGAATTCATCTTCCTACGTGGATTAACTTCATGAATTATGGGTATAGATCACACCTAGAGCTTGAATTGAGTCTTGGTTAAACTTTATCTCTACAATCTCCCTTTGTTTCTCTTGAATTCTCCTTATCTCTCTCTAAAGTGTTGAATTCTCCCTCTAGCTCTCGAATTTCAGCACAAATTTATGTCAAAATAACAAGCTTAAGCATGTTTAACATATATATCTATAGGGTGATTAGGCTTAGCTAATTAATCTTGATTAAGGCTAATCATTTGGACTTAATTCTAAACAATTACAATTAATTTATTCTAATTAATTTGATCTGAATCAAATTTTAATCAAACTCACGATATGATTCTAAAATTTCAACTAGCGTATTGAATTACTCAATTTCTGTTTCTAAACCCATTCAGGCTTTTAATTTCGCATTCTACATTGACATTTAAACAGATATATCATCAACAAACAAATAAACATCAAATAAACACATAATCATGCATATAGGCTCAATAAAATATTATTAAAAAAATAATATGAAAGTCGGGATCGCCATACACACTATAAATGCAGAGATGTCGTATCTTATTTGACACATTTTACTAGTGAATATTGCTAATTTCTGTAAATTAACGAAAGAATTATGGTGTGATACTTGATCGGATTTTTACTATACAATTAGTATAGGCCAAAACTAGTTATGGATTATTCCCAAATCATTAACATCCCCTCTTATTTTTGAGTCCCAATCTTACCTCCAAACTTGGATGAACCCAAGGAGGATGGCTGACTAACGGTGCCCACTCCCCAGAGTTTTAAATTTATTCTTATTATAGCAATATTTATTAAGAATATTTTTAGCTTTGTAGAATTATTTTATTTTAATTTTAAATTTTAATTGTATTATCGCCCTTCTTTTAAAAAATATTAGAGGTATTAAATAGGTTTTAGTGTATGATCACTTTAGAAATTTTAAAATATTTACCTTGCTCTGTAATTGATCACAATCTTTGTCTTTGGTGTAGTTTATAGAGTTGTTTATAACTTTTATTTTATTTTTATTCTTTTTATTTTAGAAATTTGTTTCAGAATATTTGGTGCAACTTTTGCTCATTGCAGC